TAAAAAGAGGGGCCAGATATTTAATTTGTAGTTTTTGGTTTACCTGAAGGGATGGACACGCTGGGGAGTCCAAGTTAATCAGTGAGCCCGAGTCAGAATTTTTCTCACATATACAATGAAGAAGCAGAAGAAAATCCAAACTCGGACTACAGTGAAACAGCTTTTGCTATCAGTACATTAGAAACTTTTGAAACGCCAGGGAATTCTGATAGTGGTGATACGGTTATAATCGACCAAGAACCTTGCAGTCTCTCAAGAGGTGCTTAGAAAAAGCACCGTCACTTGACAAAAAGCGAAAGAAGACGGAAAGTGAGTTAATTAGTTTCAGACGACATTTTATCTATTGAAAAGGACCTTGTTAACAATACCTAGTTATTTGCGTTTCTCTAGCCAGAAAGTATAATTACACTTTTTAGAAATGATATTTAAACATACGATATATAATTAACTAGCTGAGCATATAGGCAATGAACTGCTTTGTACATTAATTAATTCAAACCCAGCTTAACATAACGTTTGCTTCTATTTTACTTTACAACACCACGGAACATTTAGCATTATCAATGTTAATGCTATAATCACGGTGTCAAGGGTATACGCATCATTTTTCCGCGTACCGCCGATAATTTATCATCCTGCGCGCAACACCGTATCATTCTTACGTAATCTTCTGAAAAGTGCAAGAGGTCAATTCAAAAATGCCAAAATTTCTTACTAAAATTGATTTTATATAGAGAGTTTGCATACATCACGGAAGTTTTGAATGATTCATCTATGTGTGCAAAAACATTTTCCAACAATATTTGTTTATTATAACCTGAAACTAATGAATGAAAACACTTTAATACATGTGAAACAATTGTGTTCTTGATGCGAACATTTTCCATCCTTTTCCAAAAGTAAAGCTGTCGGAAGAAGTATCATATGTCAAATGATCACAAAAAGCATTGACCCGAGCTGATAACATACCAACTTTATACAAATAATGCAAACTAATGTTGTAAAATCAAGAAAACTTTTATAAACATGGTACCGCATCATGCAGAACCATGGCACCGCTTCTTTTTGCGCGGTTATACTGCATACATGTACTTTTAAACGTGTTTAACCGTTTTTTGGGGGGGTTTTGTTGTTTTTTTTTTTTGTTTTTTTTTTTTTAGTTTTTTTTTTGGGGGGGGGGGGTGTGGGCGGGGTTGGTACTGTTATTTTTTTAATGTAGGATTGACAAGGGTTACCGGTTAGGGTGAGCGGGGCAGTGGATTACCTGGGCCTGGAAGCAATCTGGACCTCTATAGTTTTTTTTAAAGATAATGTCTTGTTAAAATTCTATGCTTTCGTAGCAGTTGCATTTTATGTCTGTTGTGAAGTTGAACTTTTCTTTGGACTAGGAAATTGCATAAAATTTGCAGAGATAAGTAATTGAAATTACTTTCAAATTTGTTAATACAACAAACAAGCAAGTCAAAGCTCATATTTCTAAAATAGTATTTCTTTTTTGCATTTGAATTTTAGTTACTTAACTAATTGACTGGGCACGTAACTTATGCATGTTACTGAATTTAAGAAAGGTGACAACTATGTATGGTGGCTGATTTGGTACATTGCGCGTTGTGTTGTCGATAGCGACGACCCAACATATGTCGTTATCGCCTTTTCGTCTTGTTGCTAGCGACAATACGAGAAAGCACCAAACGGTGCGTTGTCGCGCTGTCGTCTTGTTGTGCTGTCCCTAGTGCGGCACGCCAAACGGCACGTTGTCGTGCGTGCGACGTGTTGCCGCGATGTCACATTGTTGCTCGGTTCAAATTGAAGGATTGGCTTAATAGCCAGCGACAGGGCGACATCGCGCCGCACGACAAAGCACAGTTTTGCGTGCCGCGCTAGAGACAGGACCACAAGACGACAGCGCGTCGTTTGGCTTTTGTAGTGTTGTCGCTAGCGATAGGACGACAAGACAAAAGTAGGACAACGCACCGTTTGGCGCTTTGTCGTGTTGTCGCTAGCGCCAACTAGACGCGCAAAAGCGTACCAAATCCGTCACCATAATGCTCTTGAGTTATTCTCCCTGTATTATTAAACGACTATAATCCCCCCACCAGCAGAGCTATTCAAAAAGTGTATTCTTACGTCTGTAAGATATGGTGGCTGATTTGGTACATTGCGCGTTGCGTTGTTAATAGCGCCTTTTCGTCTTGTTGCTAGCGACAACACGACAAAGCCCCAAATGGCGCGTTGTCGCGCTCTTGTCTTGTCGTCCTGTCTCTAGCGAAGCGCTAGCCAATTGGCGCGTTATCGGATTTTGTCTTGTCCTGTCGCTAACGATGTACGCCAGACGGCGCGTTGTCATGCAGCGTGTCATGCGGCGTGTTGTCGCCATGTCGCCCTGTCCTTTGGCTTATATTAAGCCAATACTTCGATTTGAACCGAGCGACAATATGACATATCGCGACAACACGCCGCACGACAACGCGCCGTTTGGCGTACATTGTTAGCGACAGGACAAGACGAAAATCTGACAACGCGCCGTTTGGCTAGCGCCAACACGACGCACAAAAGTGTTCCAAATCAGCCACAATAGTAAGAAGACACTTTTAAATAACCGTTACCTTCCACATGGATTTAGTGCAGTTGAAATATACGGTGTCCTTCTTGGGACAATTGAAGGACTGTTATTGACATGCTCGATTTTTTCTTAAAGTTTTGTCTGTCTTTTTGTATTTTTACAGATAAAGTAGCAAGATTTTACATTCTCACAAAATACTTTTCGCGCCATTCAACATTGAATTTGTCGAATAGTTGAACTTAAACAAGAGATTTAGTCAATCTTAACAGGCGATATTTAAGTGCCTCAAACAGAACACTATAGAAACCGATGGAAAGTAGTGCGTGTCTCATGAAAATATCCAGCTTATCGAGAAATTGGATGGCCATTTCCAGGACCAAAGTAACTGTTGATTTAAGCATTGACGAAACTAACAGTTGTTCGTTGGAAGATGGTACAATACTTAATGTTTTTGTATATCGTCTGACATTCTATAAAAAACAACATTAACGTGACATTTACTGAACCCACCGGCCCACAGACCAAAAAAATCAACTGCCATAAATGGCTGAACATTGCGTTAAGTTAACCATGTGAATAAGGAAACTTACTAAATTTGGGGTCAAAAACGTAATCCATATATACAAACAACCGTTTATTTTGCAATACATCATGATTCGTTAAAAACTGATTATAATGAGGATATTTGTTTGTTTGTTCAAAACTTATTTCATCGAGTTATTGCATCATGGCATGGATTTACTGCAGATCATACAGTAAATCCTTGCCATGATGTCATCACTCCATGAAATCGCGCAGCCACGGGTGAAAATATTTAATCTTGACATCACGAGATGAAATAAATTTTGATCTTACACCAAAAACAAAGAAATTTTCTTTTATTTCATGCTTTTCAATGGATAAGGCCTTTTTGAATTATTTCTCATTTTTAATGTTTTACCTTTCAAAGTGTTCCCCGTCTGGTGCCCCACTTTCCTTCTTCTTCACGTGCTTGTAGTACAGTATGGTTACGGGAGTTGACGGAAGTTAACGGAAGGTTCCGGACCAACCGGAACTAGTGTGTTAGACTTGACAGTTGGGCGCTATATTAGTGTATAATATTTAACCAGAAGAATTAGCTGATTAGGCAATTCCTAGCTTGGCTACGATCCAGTGGAAGGTAAGTCGATTGTTTCTATTGTCAATCCCTTAATAATAAATCGCGACAGTTCTATATTGGTGGCAGCGGTAATTTTTACGAATTCCGTTCCGAAAGATAGACGCTACCAAAGGTCCATAATTTTACCGATTGTGCACGAATTTGCCCTCTAATTCTGCACTCATAGAACAAAGTCTACCTGAATTCTTGGTTTTGTTCATAGTGGGCAAATCTGCTTGAACGATTTAAACCAGAATTTCTACGTAAATAATCGTAGTTAAGCTGGAATTTGCCTCCAAATTCCGCTTAGGTTAGACGATGCCTGGAAGGACCAAATTCTTGGAATTTGTTTATTTTTCAGATTTCCTTTTCGTTCTGCTGCCACTGGTACAGTAATTGTTATATTTTGATAAAATCCATTTAGCCCTTTTGCCATATAAAGGGGGAGAAGATAGATATTGAGATTTATTTGGTTAAAACACATTTTAACTTGAATATTTCTCGGTATCTTTTTCGTTGTTACCCAGCAAACAAAAGACGTTGTACTGACGTTAGACCCTGACGTTGGGTAAACGTTGGCAGAAGGTTGGATTTGAAAGTTTTTTAGACGTCAGAAACAGACGTCTATACAACGTCATAAAACCAACCTTTTCTGACCATAATCCAACCTTTTCTGACCATTATCTGACCATAATCCAACCTTTTCTGACCATTATTTGGACATAATCCAACCTTTTTCTGACCATAATCCAACCTTTTCTGACCATTATCTGACCATATGCCAACCTTATCTGACCAAATTTTCTGATCATTTAACGGTTATTTAACCTCATTCAAAACTTTTGGAATATGTTTTTTTTTCATTTTAAAGCTCTTTAATAGGGTTAATAAATAAGCATTCTTATGATTTTAGCAATTTATTTTATACTCGGAATCACAAGTACAAAACAAGAAATATGGTACTATAATTACAAATGCAAGATTTACATAATATTTTTTGAAACTATTAAATTTTACATGTACATGTATGTACTTTAATAACGCTTCATGTATTAATTAAGCATGTTTTAGAAATAAGATTTATAAACAAAATCCTTCTTGAATATTAACACTGACATTTTATATAGCAAACATCCATGCATGTGTTTTTTCTTATATCACCACTGAACTGATCACTCTGAGTTTGGGATTTTTCAATCATCTATCCAACTTAATGATTGTATATTTGTCTTTGTATTTTATAACTGAATCTAGATCTGAATGTTAAATGGAACAATATTCTGAATATTTTGTTATAACTATAAATAGCAATGTTCTTGTATCTTCATTAGTATTCTAGCTTCTTTCGTCCTCCTACACTATGTCGATCTGGGGCATACTTTAAGCGTATTTAAGCATTAATTACCATCTTCAACCTGAGATCTGATCTCACTTTCTGAAATTAAAAAAAATAAAATAATCAGTTACTGCAAGAAATAAATCACTTTTACATATTATAATTAAACGAAATTCTAACAAAACTCTCCAACTACTTAAAAAGATACTTATTACTTTTAATTTAGTTTAAACCATGTAGTTTCGTGTACCTACTGTATATATCTATTAGAGGTGTAACGATTCATCGATGCATCGATGCATCGCGATCTGCCTTGTCCTCGATGTATGCATCGTAATGAAATTACAAATTCCAATATATTGCGATGCAATACATATTTCACCTCCCGATGTATCGATACAGCGGGAAGTATCGCAATACAGTAACAATATCTTCCAGGAATACAAGGACAAACGTATTTTTTGAAAGACTGAAGAAAGAAAAATAGCTCGAATGAAAACAATGAACAAGCGCGACTATTATCATATCATCGTTGTCATCTCGTTTCCCCATGTCCGCAATCATTTAACGGTCACTAACAAAGTTTTATCAATTCCATATAAATGGGCTGGTGTTGTTTGAACTTGTTTATAATAAAAAAAATAATTAGAGATCTATGCATTTTCAACAAACATGAATTTGTATTTTTATTTAGTCGCACTTGATGTCGGATTAAAATAGTGATGATGACAACATTCCCATTTGATATTCGTCACGTATTTATACTTTCATTTCCGTTGACATCATTTTCCCGTTAAAAAAAACAAAACAAACAAAGAGAAAACATGACTGTAGACTGCAAAATATTTAGAATGAGAATCTATAGTCAATCCTCCCTGGTCATACAATTCACGAGTTTTGGGAACATTGTAGTTTTTGAGGAACAAACAGACAGTGTTGTATAATGATGAAGACCGGACGTCGAGTGTTTGCAAAATTTGCAAACTCAAAATAAAATACTCTGGGGTTGAGCACAAATCTTTCGAGAAAAATGAGAGTGTAACTGATTAACTGTTATTTTCACAGTTGTTGACCTAATAGTTAATCACTTGTTACTATTTTTTCACAAGAAAAATCTTTAGTGAAGTATTGTAAGACTGATTTTTTTAAACTGCCATATTTACAGTAGAAGACTTTAGTGTTAGACTAGTAGATATCAATTTGCTGTTATGGTATAATTACCAATACCTTTAATCCTTAGGTAATCAGAAAAGTAAATTGTTGAAAGATCAAAATCAGAAACCAAGTTATAACAACAAGTTAAAGAGTTTATTTTTTGTTATTGTAATAATTTTATATTAAATTCGTAATTATGCTGTAAACAAATGGCCAAATTTTATGTACTAAGTCTGAAAGTCAGTATCGTGATATGTATCGCATCGCAACATAAGAATCGCAATATGCATCGCATTTTTTCAAAGTATGCAATACATATCGTGAATCGCATCGTTTTGAAAAACAAGTATCGTGATATGTATCGTTACAGAAAAAAATGGCAATGCACAGCCCTAATATCTATTAATTTTGATGAAAATGGCTTCGTGAATTTCATTATAAAATCAAGGGTAATAAGATCACTGTATTTTCTATAATATTTTGAAATATACCTGTCACAAAATCTTGGTAGGTTTTCATTTTTCTTTTCCTCTAAATATTTTCATCTTCCTCCTGAACTTTTGA